AGAACGATGGATGGAGGTAAGGCGACGATATATCTGAGTACCGTTAAAACGGTATTACCCCACTTCGAAATTGACGATTAATCATAGGTGTGCACCCGCTGCTCCGCCAGGAGAGGAAGCTGATTGCCCTCATACCACTCATTCAGACGAGGACAAACTTGCCTGCTCAGGATATTATTGATTTCTTGACGGATTTTTACGAACAGATCCTTGTACAGCTACCCTTTGAGAATTTAATGAGCGAGTGTTCTATCAACGTGATGTATGCATATTATAACGAGGAGGGTATTGAGAATTAGTTAGGCTGATGGTATTGAATATCGTCTATGTTGAGTGATTTAAAGGTTTTGTTTTATAACTTCGATAGGAAATGTCGATATAAATGTACTTGTTTGATATTTACATAGTGGATATATGTATATTATTTTGTAGTATTTCTTTATTATTTTTTATTAAGAGCATTAAAAATTATATCTTCGTTTTAATAATTTCTTGAGATATAATGCCTGTTTCATTCATTTGTTAATAAATAATATTATTATTTCGGAATATTTCGTACGTGACTTCAGCACTTTCCGATTATCATTTGCTAAATAATCGATGATAATAAAATTAATATCATATTTATTTAATCTTTCATACGGGAAAAAATGTTCGATCAAGGGTTATTAATAATTGAAGTAAAAACGAAATTAATTAATATTATTATACATTATGATATACTGTATTAAATTTTCTGAATAATAACATTTTTATTCGACAATTAAATATTTAAGGAAGTAAATGTATGAAATTTATAAAACAATACAAAAACACTGCTAATTTAATTTTGCCATAATCAAGCAATTTGTCATTAATTACGCTATTATAGCTTTACTTGAGTTTCGAGGAAAAAGGAGTAGTTTCGTTAATTTTACAAATCTGGTAATTAGTTGTTTCTTAGGAAATACACAGCTGTTAGGAGAAAATGGATTGATTGCTGTTTCACCCTTAGCAAGCGGCGATTGGATTACTTTGGATATTATTGATTCCCTAACAAATTCCTTCCAGAGGAATCTCCCGAAAGTTTATTTCGCGTCAAATTAATTACTGCAATTGTTGTACTTTAAACTAAAAGCTACGTACAAATGATCTGGAGTTTAACTCATTTTTTAATTAATCGCAACTTTTGCAGCACTGTCGTATGTTTGATAAAATTATTTAACACATTTACATAATTACTTAATTTACACAAAACAAGTGTGAACAACAAGAGAGAGGACAATTAAACTTTCCATTTTAATCTGATCAATCTGTATGTAATTATTTCTTATATGCAAACATAAAAACAATAAAATAAATTAAAAATTGTTATATACAACGTATACAATATTACATGCAAAAATTTTCACTTTAATCACTTATCGAAATAATTGCAAAATTGTTTAGTAGATTTGGTATTTTCTATCCTTCCATCAGCCTGCAATGTGCCCATTAACAAATTAATACAGACTAACAGAAATCAATTGCTGAGATTTCTGCTTGTTTAGGTTTCAACCTTGAAGAACATTTTCATAAGATGCTAAGACCACAGTGAAATGCGTATTTTTCTATAATTATAAACAATTGCCAAGGTAAACCTAATTGGCTTTATAACAATAATATTTACACAGATCTTTTTACACAGACCTTTTTACGTAGACTTTTTGTATAACTTACATAATTTCAAAACAGATCCATCGCTTACGATATGATTAAGCAGGCTCACGTCTTTTGTCTATCCCTATAAGTGAATCTAATCTGGCACTGGTATGAACTGCAAAAAATTAATAGTATTTTATAGCAGGATAAACACGAAATCGCACAAATGAACAGCAAGAAGCAGCGGAAAGCGAATGAAAAAAGGATGAAACGTATTATTGATTCGTCGACAAAATCCATGAAAGGGAGGCTCGTGAAAGCGTTTCATTTAAATAATTTCATGCGTGGATACCCTTCTCCCTTCAAAACTGAATGAGGGCAAGCTACAGCTGGCTGTTCATTTGACATTCATTTAGTCCGTGAAGTCGCGCGATGCGACGCGACGGCCATTTAGGACACCAACAAGGATCCCTGTCGAGGGTGAAACGTAATCGTTGGAAAACGAGCGTCGTATTTTTTCCCCTTTATCTCCTTTTAAGGGAACAGGAACTTAGGGTCAGGAATTAGACAGCAAGCATTCTCCGAGACCTCATTTGCACAATAAATAGCTGCTTACGTTGTTTTAGTATACCTACGAGTACATAATGTGGGTCTTATCAAACAAATGCAGAGATTGAAGGATTTGCAAAATCCCTATCCAGAGTAATGCTTTCTCTGGATGAAATTTACTGTATCTTATCTTTTATTAATAATTAATTATCTGTTGCTATCATCGCTCACATTATTGCAGTTTTATGCAAAACAATCGACGAATGAGTTACTAGGATAGCCTCATTCATCTTTATGATATCCTATCAAATTCAAAAGTTTCTTCGTGTTTAATTCGCATATTTTTCTATTTAAATTACATATTTAGATGCCCTGATTTAACATTTTTAATCGTCGCATCGCATAAAAATATCCTTTCGAAGAAGTTTATTGATTAAAATTTTCTAATTATACGTATCGATAATCGATCATAACCAAATTAAAGTAGAAGTCGAAACTTTCATTTCTAATCCTAAATTATTGCAACGATTTAAAATAATATATATATTACAGTAGTATGAAACGAATCGCAAAATTATACATATATGCAATAATAATAACAGTGGAACGTACAAATACAGACTGAAGTGCTTTCCATTATTGCCTTGTTTTCGAGGAAACCAATTTTGAAGAATCATTAAGTACGCGTGTAATTGACTGATCTGTGCTGCGACCTTTGCCGATGAAATTACGTGAATCAATAACGTAGCTTCAAAAATATCGAAAATCTTGGTAAAACGGAACGAAGAACTAATTATTGCGTGTTGTTCAATGTTAAAAACACAGCTAATGGTAAACATTCATGAATCCATCATGCAAAAAATGTAATTTTATATTTAATAGTAAAAACAATAATTCCTCTGTTGAGCGAATCAATAAATCAGCGATGAAATAAAAAATATTTATAAATGTGTGTAATGTTTGTTGCTATCGATATTCTTAGCGGTCACAAACTGAAAAGTTAGATAAAGATATTTATTACACATATAATATAGAAACGTATGAATCTCAAAGGAGTCATGTATAGGAACAACGGGAAAGTCGTGAATATTACGTCATTTTAATGCACATGTGCGAAAAGCGAACTCTTGTCACAAGCGTAAAAAATTCTTGAGGTGTCCGATCAGCCAGAATTATCAACAAGAATTACGTATAGGCATCAGAATTATTTACATTTTCTTGAGAGATGCCGCGGAATTGTTATGATCGTTAAACTCTTCTTCATACCACGGCTATGTTTTACACCTACAATATTACATTTCCAAGATACTTACATGCTTCCTTCGTCTCATGTTTCTTATTCGAAACAACGCCACTCTGTCTTATTCCTGCTATTTTTATTTCTTGTAGCAATTTACTTTATATCTCGCTGCTATTTGCTATTTCTCGTAGCAAGCGCGCCTGTTCTCCTGCTTCAACGTAGCCACCGCTATAGTTCACATACTCGCGCAATCGAATTTCTACTACATTCTACATCAACGCGTAGAAATTATATACAAATCATTTGTCGTATATTTGTACACTTATCGTTAAATCAGCTACCCATCAGCACGATATTTGTTTTTATGACAATTTATTGTTTATTATCTTCTGTTTCAACACCATTTAGGAGTTGAATTTCAAAAATTACTCAGACGCGTGTTTATTTATTTTTGATAAGGAGTTTGTTTGCCGGATTTCACTTTTTCAAGTTTAGCGACACGTGGGATATGGATATTCCCTAAATAAAAATTTGTTCGCCTGTTTTACCCCTTTAGGGTTTATATTTACAAAGATCTTTTCAATCCTCGTGTCTATGTTATAAAAAAAGCATATTGTTCAAATTTCACCTTTCACGTTTCTAAGCACAGTGATTTGGACTGAGCATTGATGGCGAAACAATCAGCTACTTTTGCATCTTGTATATGTAGCAGTGTGAATGTTAAACGCTCGAGTGCCAACTAGAAACTAGTATCACCACTGTGTGCGATGACAGTAAACCGCGAAACAAACTATGTATTGGTTATTTGCCTGGCGTTGTGCGTCATATGTTTACCAAATTTAAACATTTTGTATCATAACAGTAGGTGGTTGATGGTTGGGTAACAATGACAGAGTGCTCGTCGTTAGTAACTGACTACTGGAGTATCTAGCATGAGCGGCAGTAAACAATTATCGGAGGCACGGCACGGCTATGTAAGCTGCATCCGGTTATAAAAAGAACAGAACGTTATACATAAAATAGCTGGAAGAATTATTGGAACTTTCTCGTCATTTTTCAAGAAAATGCTGACGACTAGAACGCAATATGATAAAATAAATTTGATCTTGAATTTCGAGCAAAAAATATATATATAAACCATACCATTTTTCATTTATATTTGTACTAAAATCGTCCCATGCATGATTGAACTATCAGTCTAACAACTATCATTACGAACGACATGACATAGAAGAACTTTGTTTCTCAACACGCGACAGCTGTAAGTGCGAAATCTTGTTACCATTTTCGGTCGTCATCGTTCAGCTCTGATATTTCTGGCATCTGTGAAATCTAACAAATATCATGACCTTCGTACAGTGTCTATTTCAGATAAATACTCACGTTGCAATTTAATTGTTGCCTTCATCGAATGATCATACAAATCCAGCAAATATCCAGCAAACTTCCTCATTCTCACTGTTATCTAAAAAGTTTCTTACTCATTCGTAATTACCGCAAAATTCATTAGCTAAAACTCTTTACGGAAGGACCGTATATAAACGAGCAACTTTTTACCTTAAAATTAAAAAAAAAAAAAACATTGTTTCAGACTATACGAAACGAGGTACAGAAGAGACTTCCAAAGGTATGGTCCGAGGACGAGATCAGTCAGCTTACGGAACTTTGGGAACAACTGAAGCAGGACGATGGTAATTTTTAATGAACAGTCGGCCTGTTGAATTTCATAAGTGATGAATATCTCAGAGATACAATATAATTTGGCGGGGAATGCGCGAGGTCTGGCTGACCGCGCCTTGAAACAGTTGAAGAATTTTGCGAATGTTCGTTCGGGAATTCATTAGCACCCGTGACGATTCTCGAAATTTAATTAAGCACCGAACATCGGTGACGGCTGGCTGCTGCTTGCAGCAATAATTCGGACTCCGTCGGGACGCCGAAGAATAATATCCTTTCAGACAGAAAGATTTTCAGAAGTCTTGTAAAACTTGCTTCATTCTCGTGCGTTTACACCGCTTCCCATGGTTTTAACGCTCAAAATTATTCTCAGCCCACCGTGCTCCATGAAAATTCCCGAAAATCAACTTCGTTCTTTTCTCTTTGAAACTTTGATAATATCATTTTTACCTCGACTACGTCCCGTGTAGAATTCTGGAATTTCATTTATCAAACTATTACATTTAAACGTATCACCATAGTCTATCGTTTTTCTCAATAATTCACTAGAGAAATGATATTATAACAAAGCGCAAAAAATAATAATAATTTGTGAACTAGTTTTATATATATTTACGTTAAGTATAATCACTCACGTGTAACAAAGTGCATCACGTAGATTATGTACTCTCGTATGGACGAAAGCATCTATCAAAGCTAAATAAAGCAAAAAGCAGTATTCTCAGTTGCCCTCAAATAATAGTTAGATATTATTTCAAAAACTTTCCCCAACAAATGAAACGTTTCATTCTCAAAAATACACACACATTATCTGAAACGAAGTAAATTATTTATTATCTAATATTTAGTATTTTAATAGAAATGGTATCTTACTCGGCTCTGGTTACATTACTTTTTAAATATTATCGAACTACGAACAAACATCCAATAATTTTATCGAAAGGTTCCATGTAATTTTCTAAGTTTGGCCTGTTCCCTTGGCTTTCTATCGTATTGAATCAACATTTCATCCCCTCGAATAACGAATTAATACCAATACGATTTATGTTGTGTACATCCAGATCCCGTGGATTTGATCTTCAATGGGCTCACAATAAAGCGGCCGAAGCCAAAGATCAAGGAGAAGCTTTTGGAATTAGGATTGGCCACGGATCGCAAGGAGTTGCGCAAAAAGCGATCCAGAAAAAGCAACCACGGTAAGTGTTCACTTTCTCTTTTTCCGCGTTCACGTTCTATGGCCGGTTACCTCTGCCTCTTTTCCCAGCCTTTTCTCCGGTCTCGAGCGGCTCTGAAGCAGACCTTGTTCCGGCCAATCCTATCCCATTCCATTCGCATCTGTCTTTCTTACCATCCTTAGATGCTGCGACTATTCCCATTCGATCAGTTCTCTCTGCTAACACGATTGCCAGCGACTGCACGCTGTGAACTCGTTTTTGGATGGAGCAAGTGACGCTTGACGGTGAATTAAGGGAAGTGAGCAGCAGCTGAGATAAATATGGCGAGGAAACCAGAAACGAGATCAATTTGTACAAAATCCTCTTGTAGAAGTTTCTTTTCATTGGTTATGATTGGAAACATTTTTTTTTTTTTTTTTCGATAACATCATCCAGAAAAAGCAACCACGGTAAGTGTTCACTTTCTCTTTTTCCGCGTTCACGTTCTATGGCCGGTTACCTCTGCCTCTTTTCCCAGCCTTTTCTCCGGTCTCGAGCGGCTCTGAAGCAGACCTTGTTCCGGCCAATCCTATCCCATTCCATTCGCATCTGTCTTTCTTACCATCCTTAGATGCTGCGACTATTCCCATTCGATCAGTTCTCTCTGCTAACACGATTGCCAGCGACTGCACGCTGTGAACTCGTTTTTGGATGGAGCAAGTGACGCTTGACGGTGAATTAAGGGAAGTGAGCAGCAGCTGAGATAAATATGGCGAGGAAACCAGAAACGAGATCAATTTGTACAAAATCCTCTTGTAGAAGTTTCTTTTCATTGGTTATGATTGGAAACATTTTTTTTTTTTTTTTTATCGATAACATCAGAAGCAATAAGTTACAGAGATAGAGTATTTCTTCTTGTTTGACCTTTGGAAAGTTGCGATCGTTGAATTGAATTTCAAGTCGTAATATACAATAGGATACGTCACGAAATACCCATAACTAATGAAATCGTAAAAGATTGAAATGATCGACAGTGGAAATAAATTTGATAACGAGAGGAAGTTTAAGTAGGAAGATTGAGGCATTTCTACAATTTCCAGAATTCTAGTTGCACGATAAATACCACTTCCTTTCTCTTTTTCTCGATAGAATCATATATCTTTTGTATACATTATTTGATGAATTTTTTAAATTCTTCATAAAGGAATATTAAAATACTTACGTTTGTCAAAGATTAGTTTAAAAGAGAAATTTTAAACCTAATAAATAAATACAAGACAACTACAATTCTGCATAGACCAATGCTGAGATAAATACAATATTACTTAGCAAGAAACAAGTAAATTGTACTTAGTATTATTATATCTTCCTATTCTTGTCTTATCTTTCATTTACCTTACCTCCGCCAAATAGAAATAACGATATCTTATTATTACAACATTTATTCTTATCCTATTAAAATAACCCATTCAATGTGTACAATTGTTCAATCTATTCAAGAATTTATTTCCAACAACTGTTTCAAACAAAAATTTCAAACTACTAAAATAAGAATATCTTTCACACTTAGAATATCTTTTACATTTTCATGAACGGATCATGATCAATTACATGCCAAATGAACACACATTTAACTGGTTCCACGAGGCATGCAAGAATATGTACGCAGAAGGTACGGTTGAAATAATATTTGCGTTTCTAGTTCGGAGTTCTGCAGAAGCGGCAAAGCGGTTCATAACAGAATCGTTGCAGAATACAAATTCTGTTATTTAATATCGAAAAACGCGAATTCCAGTCGTGGTTTTCCTGCTCCCATGCCAATATCACTCGTCCCTGTTCCCCATTACGCCGCAAGGAATTTCATATTTATCATTGTTATTGTTTTTCTGTTTCCCTCCACGTCCGCTTATTTGTATTCAATGTACTACGATAGATCGCATTCTAGATATATAAGGTTAGGAGATGAAGTATAAAAGCAAACTTTTGTCTCGGCTTACGTGCTATTGAAACGACGTTTCCTCGCCTCTATCTCATCGCCTCTTCCTCAAATAAGATTTCGCAAGCCGGAACACCCGGTATGTTTCCCGATGCTACGGTGGATCTTAATATCGCATGTGCACCGATCGAAACACTTTAGGAACGCACGTGAAGACAGGAAATATTCTTGATTTGCTGGAAGATCGACACTTCTGAAAAGATGTTGAAGTATCTGAAGAAATTATCTACCTCTAAAGTTGTTTATATTTTTTTTGAAAGTTTCTAATGGCGAATATTATTGCTTTCAATTTTTTCTTTAATTCATATTAATAAAATTAAATTAATAAAAATCATAATGTTTGTCATTTTACGTGTATCTTCTAGTGAATTTTTTTTTGTACCTTTCGAAAAATACGAAAAAAGTACGTCCGTGTTCTCGCGCTGTTCACAGTCCATGGCTCGTAATAGTAGGCAAAAATTTTAAGCATTTTTTGTAACAAATCACATGAACAATGTTTTATTGATCGTGAATACTTGAAAGATCTTCGAAACCTAGGGATCAGCAGTTAAATTGTAAAGGAAAAAGGTACAGTACACGGTGATGTAATTAACATCTTCTCTGTCTGTATCTAAGAGTAATATTCTATCGTAAAAAATCTCAAATCGATACATGTCAAGTCTATAGCAAATTGATTACATGTTCATTTTCCACCATACTCGTGCAAACTCCTTTTCTTTGCGATTGTACTTCACGAGCGACGCACAACGAGATCGATTCATTTATTACTTCCACGTTCATTTTGTGTTAATTCGGCGAACGTTTAAATTTCTTCGAATTTCATTAAAGTTAATGAACTTCGCCGAGCTTTGAAAATTTGAACTTCCAAAATTCGAAAACTACAAAGTTACAGGAATATCATCTGTTTTTGCCACAATGTAATACAATATTCAAGTTTCAATTTCTTTTTCTAAGATTAAAACTATGGAAATATCAACGAGTACATCTTGTTTTGGATAGTTGCTTGAATATTTTAAGAACTCGTTGCAGCGCAATACGCGGATATGTAACGTAGTTGTCTATGGTCTTAATTCGAGTATCGTAGTTTCAAACTTCTTGTACTCCTCCGATGCATTGATTCACTATCGAAAGACAGAAAGAATTTTCAAATTTTCAGAATCTTAATTAAGATTCTATTTCCTCCCTGCCATTTTAATATATTTCCTAATATTCTCTTTCGGTTCCTATTACTATTGTGCGTTCTATCGTTTTCCTTAAATTGCTATATTACTTTGAGATAAGATATCGCAAAAGAATAAATTTGTATACGGATTAAATAAACGCGATTGCAAAAGCGAATTAACAAACAGCTTGAAGAAATTAAGACGAAATCTTAATTTTTTCAGGAAACGAGTAAACAAAAAGATATTAATCTGGAAATATTGAACAATATATTTCTTGACTAATCACGATTATGGTAACAGATTAACGCACATAGATCTATATTTTTATGCAACTTGACTTTCGTATCATGAATGTATGTATTTGAAATACATTTTTCGCAAATGCCTGGAACCGAGAGAAGCTATATCGAAAAACGTTTATATTCATTTCCCGTTACTTTGTAAAAAGGTAAATCGTCGTGGGAAACGCAGTCTGCCAGTAATTCCGACGAGGATGAAAGTAGCGACGAAGAAGCTGGGAAATCCTCGAGCAATAGGAACGTGGCTCCCAATACACCAACGAACAAGGGAAAGAAGAAAAATGCGAAAAAACAGCCAACGATGGTTTACACGGATGCACAATTATCCGGACTCTTGAAGGATGTCATCGAAAAAAGTGAGTAATACCGTATCACTCCCTCTTTCGTCGATTTTACACAGTATGGTCTCAGTGATTTATGAGAATAAAATTCAGGGTAGATACTTGGAACATTATTTCGAGGGCGCGAAAGGGCAGAATGATCTGCAGTGATCGTTCAAGAGTGAAAAGAAATAAAATGGGAAAAGTAATGATTTGTCAAAGAAACCCCTGTTTGCGGTACAAATGTAGCACGCGAAATGCCAGTTTATCCCCATGGATTTTGGCAAAGACATGGTTACAGAACGACCCTGTAGTTCTTTTATGTCGAACCAATGTGCTTGTCATCTATCAGAATACCATTGCTTTCAGGCAGCGACACAGGTTTTAATGACACTTGGGGCAAAATTAATCTCTTCAACTTTCGTCTATTTTATCACATGATTTACATTTAAAGTTTCTTCAAAGATTCAACAGTTTTACTGAAAAGATCTCTTGTAAGAAAAGATTTCCAGACAAGAATTGAAGACAAAGTTACATATTGATTTATAAAATCTTAATCGAAATATTGCAATCGAGAGAACGAGAAATTAATAGATTGAAAAAAATGGTTGAGTTATTCATGCGCAAAAGTAATAAACTAATTTACTGCACGAGTTCATTGTTTATTATTATCTAGGAAAAGTTCTAGTGTTATATCCAACATATTTATTCGAATTATCAATATGAAAATAAATTGTTCTTATAATTTATTTCAAATTCTTTGTATTACTAATATACTCATTCTTATAGAAAAACGTAATAACAGACATTTTGATAAATCAGATATGAGCGACGCTCTAGAATGGATCAAGGAATCCCTACTAGATGTCCTGGACGATCGAGACGAGGAAAGCTGCGAAGGTATCCCCTTAGTTCCGCTGACAGATTATTCGTCTGCTGCGATGGATTCACCGAGCTTCCAGAAGCTTATTCGAGCTATGGGATTCGCACCTCCTGCTGATGAACAAGAATCTTATTGGCGCATACCATCTAATATGCCTAGATCGATGATTCAGAAGCGCTGTAATCTTATCGAGTCTTCGTTGGCAGGAAACTTCATTGCCGAAGGTATTATGTCTTTTCTCTTTTGTATACATAACTATTTATAAAAAATAAGAACACTTTTGATTTGTATAATGATGTAGGATTAAACATTTTATTCTTTAAGGAAAGAAAATGGACGTGTTATTGTTAGAAGGAAGAAACTGTTTAATGTGACTAATAGAAATTTTTAGTAACAATTATATAAAAATAGAAGTTATAAAAATATGATATTACAATAAGTATTGTATGAAATAATAAATTCATTCAGTCATTAATACGATTTTCAATATCTGCAGATATTTTGAAATTGAAATTTAAACGATAGATTGCGTGTACATATGTGGCTAATCTCTTCGTTTTCTAAGTTTCCCAAGCAACGAAACAATATTTTCAATTACTTTTATCAATTTTCATTCGGTACGATTAAAATTCTATATATCATTAAATCTAATAATGATTATATACTTTTAAGATGAATGTGAATACGCGTGTAATAGATCACTATGCACTACATTTGTTTAATATCTCCTTTTGTATTTTATAATCAGAAGCAACATCGGCGAAGGTGGAATCTGATAACGATAGAAACAGTGAAAGCGATGATGAAGACGTTTTAGAAAATATTAAAAAATATTTCACCTCTAAAGGTACGTAATTTTCATAAATTTGCTTACAATGTTTAATACTAATACTTTATCGTACGGTACATAAAAATATATTTATTAAAATAATATTTACATATGGGATTTTTATTTATTATTATGTAATTCTAAAATATTTTACGTTTAACTGATTTATAACATGCTTAATATGATTCTAACTGTTTTTATTCTCTCTTACATCTTAATCTAATTTTTATTATAATTTATATAATTTAATAATAGGATATATACTTATAACGTAATAATGGAGTACCTACTGTCTCTCAAAAATTTTTCTAAACATATATGCATTTCTTAAAGATATCTGTAAAATTAAGTAACGTTGACTATCAGCCGTTAAATACTTTGTTGTATATTTTTAGCTGAGCCACAACCATCAACTTCCCGCGATTCTGATATAGAAACTAACGTTCATTCTATGCCGAAGCCATTGAAAAAGACCACAATTCTCTCATCACCGACTGAATGTGATGATGTAGAAATAGAGGAAGCAAAAGCAAATGACTCGCAGCCAGTCGGTACGTATTTCTACATTCCAACGAGACAACTATGTTGAGGGGACCTTCCTCTGCCCTCTGTTGAGGGAATCAGTTAAACATTTTGAACTTCAGAGATTTACCAGCAAATCTATTCAGCAATTGATCAATATCTCAACCAAACCAAATCTAATATTCTCCATTAATTGTAGAAAAATCAAAATCTGGAAAGAGAAAGTTTGATGGACGTATTATTGCATTCGATGATTCGTCTGACTCTGAATTGGAAATAAAGACCAATGCTGATGATGCTGAAGTGGCTGAAGGTAGAAAGAAAACTAATAGCTGTATAACATGAAAAATATAGGAAATGTTATATTCTATTTTATAATTATTCGTTATTTGTAAATTTATAGTAGGTGACGGGAAAAGACCTCGATCCGATGACGAGAAAAATGATAGCGTGAAAAAACGTCGTCTGCTGGATAGTGACGAGGAAGAGGAGCCACTAACGTCTCAAGCTACCAGGCAGAAAAGCATTAAAACGATAATTAGTGACGACGAGGAAGAACCAGCGCAAAACCAACGTAATCAACACAGGTCAACTCATAGAATAATTAGCGACGATGAAGATTAATCGAAGAGAAGACTCTCGTACCTTTCAATATTTCTATTTCACTCTTTGCTATGTGTTTTTATAATTTGTGAAAATAAAGGCAACCTACCCTCCACCATAACATTGCACATATTTTTATTCCCTGCACTAAAAGGAATGTAAAGATTATTTTATATTTAAGTATATATTATTATATAGTTCAAAGTTTTGAGAAAAGATTACTATGTAATTTAACAAAAAATTCAAATTTTCAGAAAATTGAAATTCAAAGTCGCAGCTCTGTAGCCATTCAAAGCTGAGTTGCGCTGGAAAAATGACACAAACGGTGAAAATGATCTTACCGACGTATGCGAGGGTAAAACAGTTTAAGGTGGCTATTTCCAAGATTCTGGCGTTCATGACCTGACAAAGTATACCGCTGCAGTCTCCTTCGTCACCTAATATGCCCTCACAGGTAATTGGACGCACCCGGGGTACACTTCAGGGTGCCAAGAAAAACAGTTCCCGAAAGGCGTCCACATTTCGCCAAGTAACTACTAGACGCACATGAAGGTATAAGAGTCGCAACGTGTCCTGCGCATCGTTACCGCGCATCTACCACTGCGCCATCTAGGTTACCGCGCATCTACCACTGCGCCATCTAGGTTACCGCGCATCTACCACTGCGCCATCTAGGTTACCGCATAACCTCCTTTCTCACGTGCAATCCGGTTCCTTGGTTGGCCAATGTGGATGACTTTACGTCTTTTGATGGGCAGGTGAGGAGTCTTGGCGAGTGTCAACGATACCTAAGTAAGCACGCCATGTATCGAAATATAATCACGGCCGAAGACTAGCCCTTTACGTTTTTCCACACGCCTTCAACGACGCGACCGCGGCTACGTTCGTACGACGACGCATAATGTGGCCGCAAGGACTTCGCGAGCCGCGGATTGATTATCAGGCGTTCATGTTGCGATAAGAACTATGAATAACATTGCATGGGTTACGTATATATATATGTATATATTGCTATCTAACCTCTGGTTCATATATGTAGATATAGATATACATATGTACATATTTAAAACGATGGTAGTAGAATCAAGTGAATACATAGTGTTATGTACCGAATCTTGATTACGAGCATTTTGAATTGATTATTCTAGCGTTTTCATATTTTATTATTTTAATACCTTTAGTCTTCTAACATTTGTATTTTAATGAACTTTCTATATTTTTGAGATATTATATCAATTGAGCTATTATATATTTTATTAAAATAGAAAATATCGTATTTATACCTGTTATGCTTAAGAAATTATGGCACACACACGTGTTTGTTATTGTATAATATTTTGTATGTACAGCAGATAGTAGTTAGAAGAAAATGGTTTGATTTATATATATAATTAACATAAGTTCTCTTTACGGGAATTTCTCTCTATATATGAGATGTAAAATAAAACATGTCAATTAAATCAGCTTCCAAAACTTACATCTGCAACGACAAGTCGTTCTTTACCTTTCCATAATACATTTAACGTTAACAAAAAAGTGATTAACCATTACGAAACTAATAGGAAAAATGATTGAACAAGGTTCAATGGAATAGTTTTTAATTTACAATTTAACTTACATTTAGTGTTACAAGAAGCAACTTTTCTTAGAAGCACGCTTAATTAAAATCATATGCGGTGAAAATGAACGCCCGCCCGATTCAATAATAAATATATTATTATTATGCTATATTATTATATATTGTATATTATTAGTATAATATATTTATTTTATTTTATTTATCAAATTCGCATATGCAAACATACATGTTATATTATTACTATATTCAAAGCTTTATAATTAGACTAATATTCAATGAAACAAAATGTACGACACAATAAATTATACAAAAGCAAAAATTAATTCAGTGATACGGAGATTAATTTATTATTCTTTAATTTCAATCTATTGCTTTGTTATTTATTATTATTTAAGTAGAGTAATTTCCAAGTATAAATATCATGTATCACATTCGTAAAACCTAATTTACTTACGTATAAATATTAACAATTGACTACTACACAAACGTAAGAAAATACTGCGATGTCCTCCGATAAGAACTAGTAATGCAATTTTCTAAGAGTAATTAATACATAAGAAAAGGAATTTTGAAAAATCTTTTCACTACTTATACCATATAGCATTGAAATTATACAAATTTAATGAAATACTGACAAAATCGATACCTATGCGTCAGGAGTATCGTACAATATTCAGATTACGCCTTATATAAAGAATACAATTTGAATTTAAATTATTTGCTTGCTTCAAAAGTTCTTACGGGTATAGGGTATCAGAAGTATTATTGACGATTGCGTCAATAGAGATTCCGCAAGGCCACGTGCATTCTAATCACAACTTCCAACTACCAGGCTTGCATGAAGTACGTAGATGTCTGTTTATAGCGTGGTACACTGGCAGATTGACGTGCCAGAAACACGTGGCTATAGTACCAGGAGCTCAGGAAAATAAGGGAGCAAGGCATAACCTATCTGGATCGCGTACTCTCCTAGTAAATGCGCGGGCTCCTTATACGGTTGTAGGCGGATAGCATCCTCTCTTTCTCCCCTCCATACTTTCTGGCCCGTTTCTAACAATCTTGATAATTATTATATCACATTTAGTATGTTGGAGTGAGTGAATTAATGATCGAGTGGATAATCTACTGCAGTCGAACATGAGGAATGAAGCGTTTTGATGATTTTTTAACGATTTTGTAATGGAAGTAGCCGAGATAGGTGAAACAATGGAAAATTACGGAACATTCAAACGTAAAGTAACTTCTAGTTATCATAAGTGGTGTATATATGATAAACCGAGAGCAACATTCTTAATATTTATCAGCTACCAGAAATATTGTCTTACATGCTAATTGTTGTTACATGCTAATTTTATTATCGTATTTTTTTAAATCATTATATGAGACAATCAATTTGTAGAATAGTTTCCTTCGACTATTTATTCGTTTCAATTCATTTGTAATACCAGTAGATCGCATCATATCTATGTATAATTGAACGAAACTTAAAAATCTGATATTATAAATGGTATCAAAATTATCGAGAAATGTGTATCAGACAATGATTTAACGGATGACAAAATGCGTAAAGTGTAATAGTGCCCATAATTCAAATATTCATTCAAATGAATTTGTTTCAATATTATATAAAGTACATTTTTTAGAACAAACTTTGCAGAAAAAATTACGAATGTCTATATATATACACATATATAAATATATATAAAAAAAAAAATATATATATATAAATGTTACAGTAGAAATTTTGATGAGCCATATGTAAATATTGAGTTTAATTTATTTCAATTTAATATCTTTTAATAATTTATATCATAATTTTTATTGAATTTGAATCGTATTTATTTAACAATAGAAAATAATACAATTCGTCTTACGACCATTTGGTCTTATTATTCGTTGCAAGCAGGTGTATTTTTCATTATGATTGTTTTTAACGAATAGTTTATCCAACCTGTTACGTAAAAATGGCGCCTTCGCAGTAATTGGTGGCGCGTCACGTCGTTGCCGCGTGTAATTCGTGCTTCCATGCGCGCCAACTGCGCGTGTCATCTACGAGTAGTCGTCTTTGTACTAGAATAGCATGACTTTGAGTAGGTTGCTACTTCTTCACTGACTAACGAAAAGCGCATACATTCAAACTTACTGATATAGAAAATAGATGAGAAGTTGATTAGTGTGATGACACGGGGACGAAGGAGGCACTTATCTCTGTCGATCACTGTAGTATTTGTTTATATAGTAATTATCATATTGTCTTATTTGTACACATGATTTGTAAATTGTTTTCTTTTATAGTATGTGAATGGCGGAAGCGTAGCGTAAAAACATCTGTTCGTTGTATTACGCTCTTATAGAATGATTTATATGAAGTAGGTTTGACAAATGTAGAAAATAGAAAATTGTATAATGCGTAAATATAACGACACTGACAGTCTTGGATATAAATTATCTTTATCTTCCGTTATTTATGGATATTAAAAGAATCAATGTTTGGAATTTTGTGAATAATATTCGTTGTAACGCTTTGAATCTTGCCTTCTGGATTCTAGTTTCTTCTTTTCAAAAACTCCATCGTTTCTTAAACACCCAGAATTTACCTTCGCCTAAACTTAGCTTCATAGTTGAAGATATACTATTCATACGTACAACATTTTTGTGAGTCACGAACAAATTATATACCTAAACAGGGAAGTTTTAAATGGTTTCTACAGAATACGATACGCTGAATAGTCCATTTCGTTTAAAAAGTGATGTTAGTCTAACACTTACTTTTATACGTAAGTTATAATAAAAAATAATCCTCTAAATATTCCAAATGAATATCATCCATTTCGTATCGTCAAGCGATTATCTCCTGAATATTCATTTAAAATACTAAATGGAAAATCCAAAGAACACGATGTTTTGCGTTATTTCATCGCGTTTGAACTCCACCGCGAATCCTATTATTATTATTTTATACGTTGCCCCTTTTCTTTGACTGCATATATCTGTATCTGTTTCTTGCATAATTGCTCACGCACCCTCATATCAGCCTGTCTTCGTGTTTATCACAAATTCACGCATACCTACGAGTCCAGATATCACAGCGAAGCATACACGAAGCATCGTAAGCGCGGCAACTGAATTCATGCAGGTGCTATAGTACTGGCTTGGCCCGCGTTTTTGGAGGTATCGAACGTTCCTCCTGGTCCCTCCCCCTTTGCCACTCACCTCCTCCCATCCTCATTCGATGGTCCCGAACAACTCTACTATGGTGATAGTATCCTACCTCTCGGGTTGTCCAGCGCGTTGCCGAAATTTTCAGATGATTGATGGCTATTGATGTCCGGGCCAACCCTCGATCCACTTTGCTCCGTAGATTTCGCAATGTGAAAATATTTCAGCTCACTAAGTGTTTCGTTGTGTGTCAACCGATGTCTATGTGTGCGTGCTGTGTACGAGAGCAGAGACGACTCTAGCGTTTCTGGATCTTCGGGCTAACTTTGGATATTTTGTTTCGACTTTTCTTCTTCTTTTTTCAGGCTTCGTTTTCTCAATAA